CGTGTAAACGCCCCATATTGCATATTCATTGCAGAAAAAGTACTAAATGGATAAGAGGCGCTATTTAGCACGTTTTAAAGACCAAATCCTTTTAGCACGCTGTTGATAGATCAGTTTGTACATTTTTTAGCACGTGAAATAGCTCATGTTTTTATACACGCAAACCTTTGATAGATCCGGCCCTCAGTTTGTTAAATAAATATTCAATTTGGACCTAAATATTTAGTTTGCCAAATAAGTTTTTAGCTAGCTTGGTGCTAGCAATATCAAAATGAAGCAGCATGCACGTTTGTGCTGGTCCTGCTGTGTGCCGTCTGAACGTAGCATTAGACACTCTAGCCTTGCAGCTCTACAGTCATGGCCAAAAATTTTTTCAAATGTTAATATTTACAAAATCTACTGCTTCAGTTTTTATAACGGCAATTTGCATTTACTACAGAATGTTATAAAGGGGGATCAGCGTAACAGCAATTAATTGCAACGTCAATATTTGCCTAGAAAATTAACTTTATCCCCCAAAACACATTTCAACACCATTGCAGCCCTGCCTCAAAGGAGCAGCTAACATGGTTTCAGTGATTGCTCCATTAACACAGGTGTGGGTGGTGATGAGGACAAGGCTGGAGATCAATCTGTCAGGATTCAGTCAGAATGACGCCACTGGACACTTTAAAAAGAGGCTGGTGCTTGGCTTCATTGTTTCTGTTCTTTGAACCATGGTTATCTCTAAAGAAACACCTGCAGTCATCATTGCACTGCACAGAAATGGCCTAACAGGAAAGAGAATGGCAGCTAGAAAGATTGCACCTCAGTCAACAATCTATGGCATCATCAAGAACTTCAAGGAGAGAGGTTCCATTGTTGCCAAGAGGCTCCAGGGCGCCCAAGAAAGACCAGCGAGCGCCAGGACCGTCTCTTAAGTGTTTCAGCTGCGGGATCGGGCTACCAGCAGTGCAGAGCTTGCTCAGGAATGGCAGCAGGCAGGTGTGAGTGCATCTGCACGCACTGTGAGGCGGAGACTCTTGGAGCAAGGCCTGGTCTCAAGGAGGGCAGAAAAGAAGTCACTTCTCTCCAGGAAAAACATCAGCGACAGACTGATATTCTGCAAAAGGTACAGGGAGTATACTG